ATCTTCACACACGTCCAACCACACTTCGCCCATTAGGACTACGTGATGATAAGCATTACAGATATCATCGGAACTCTTCTTCAATGAAGCTTCTTGATATTTCCAAATTAGATGCAACGTTGCAATAGCAAGATTCGAATTAGTCATTTATTATTGTTTTATTTATAAATATTTTATAGATCAACTAAAAGAATGCACTATAATGAAATATAAGACTGATAAGGTTTGGTGATTCAAGTGTGTTATGACTAAATAAAAACGAGCTATTATATACTTGAAAATAGAAGTTTATTTCGTATAATAATCTCTGAATGAAAGATCAACGTCAATGGTCATCTAGTCGAATGGAAGTCATTTTTTCGTCTGGATCATCACCATTATATGAAACAACAACACGTTTCTTTCGTTCAGATTCAGACTCGCCAGCGACGAGTTGTCTTGGTGGTACACAACCTGTTGCAAAGCGACCTGTACAAACTAGATGAACTTCGCAGCCTAAAGAAAGAAAGATACATGAATGTAAAATCACACTCTATGATTCAATTGTGATAGAAGCCTTCTATTACCTTCACTTTCTAATTCTTGTTTCACATCACGAACATTTTGTCCAACATACTTCTGTAAATCTTCAGTAGTGAATGACATGATCTTTTTAAACTGCTGTTGGTGTTACCTTTACGTATAGTGGTGGTAAAAGAAATAAATAGACTGCTTACTTTTCTTCTTTAAATGGTGCATTCTCTTTTGCGTTCTCTACTATATTTTTTATCAGATAGCTACCTGGTTAAATAATGAACAGCAGAAGAAAAAAAAATGCTCTTTATGACTCCATGCATCAGTGATTTCTATTTTGATACATGCATAGATAAAAGAGAAAGTAAAAAAATAGAAACATAAATCAAGAATGAATAATTTTACATCGTACATACTTTTGCTGTAATATCTCGTGCATAGCAGGGCCACCGGTGTTGAGGGAGAGACAGCTGTTTTTTCTGTCGACAGTTGTGATTGAATATTGTTGATGGGTTGTAGTTGTGGGTGTGCATGAAGACAAATTCTACACAAACACTCACTCACACTCTCATTTTCTGCTATTTATAAGAGGAAATTTTTCATATTTAGGCGTATTTTCAAGATAAATACTCTTAAGAAGTCATTTCTATCATATATCAATCAGTAGTTTGAATGTTTCTATGGATGTGGGTTTGCGTCAAGAGAAGATCTACACTATAATCATAACTCGAGAACGAAGGTCTAATATCACGAACCTTTTTAGGGTTTTTATATACATTATAAGCCATATCTATGAGCAAAATATCAGTTCAAATGGACGATACTAGCTCAATAGAGTTTTTCGTCAGAAAACACTCAAAATATTGAAGTAATCATGAAAAAATTGATTTCTATTTTTAAAGATAAATATAACTAAATCGTTGGAGATTTCTAAGCAGGGCGGGTGTGAGTGTGAGTGAGGGTGTGCGGTGTGGGTGTGGGTAAGGGTGTTGGTGAGGGTGTTGGTGAGGGTGTGGGTAAGGGTGTTGGTGAGGGTGTTGGTGAGGGTGTGGGTGTGGATGTGGATGTGGATGTGGGTGTGGATGTCGGCGTGTGTGGGTGAGTGTGGATGTGGGTGTGGGCGTGTGGGTGTGGGTGTGGGTGGGTGCGGGGTGTGGGTGACGATGTCAATGAAGTGAGTGTAATCCACACCGGCACCCACCCCACACCCACATTCACACCCACCCCACACCCACACCCACGCCCACGCCCCACACCCACACCAATACCCACACCCTTTTCACTAAATAAATGATGCATCATTATAAAAAGCTATTTTTAAAGACAAACACATCGCTGCATTCCTTTTCTATGGAAAATAGACATTGTATGTCACTTAAGATATCCTCTCTAAAAATCGTTAGTGCTGAATCCAACCACCCGGCTTCTTCTGGTTACGCCACTATGTAGAACAATCTGTGGTGCCATATCAAGTAGTTCGATTTTTATGATATTTTAGAGATACAATAACATACTTTATGGTACCTTAGGCTACTTTTAAGACTTAAATGTCTTTACGAAACTTCAAAGTACATAAGTGTCATGTTTCTCCTATATGTGGCTTGTTCATGGTGCAACAACGTTATTTTTGTTCGTTCTGTTGTTGGTTATAAAACATGAAACCAGTGGAGTGTCAAACGCTTATATTCATGAAAGAAAAGCAATTTTTTTCGCATAGAGACGCCGAGAGAGAAAATTATTGCTTCTCTCTCGTGCAAGAAGGTAGGCAGTCACTTTCGTTTTTTTTTCATCTGACGACGCATATGTCTTTGTGTAAGTAGAACAGGCAAAGGAAATTGTTTGAAACAACAGCACACGTTTTATATTTTTCTATTCTTAAAACAATTTTGTTGCTCTCTCATAACTCTCCTTATCCAATGTATTATTTGTTTGATATATTGAAATGATCCTTATATCGACAAATCACTTTAGAGTATATTCTCTATGAAAGATCTGAGTGTAGAGGAAACAAGGTATGGCCACAGTCGATCAAGTAAGACACGTCTCTTGTTCTATCCATGAGATCGTATTCCTCGTTACAAATACGCTGAGCATAGGTGAAACTTGTACCAATAAGTAATTGGCCTGCATTGTAGAAAATAAGAAGTAGAATGGTAAACAATAAGGACTTCAGAGATCGATCTTAACACATTCACCACGATGCGACCCATCGGCGGGTCCCACTGTGGTCAATTGTTGTGGTCAAATAACCTCCAATGTGACACATTCTTCTAAAAGTTATTGAAATAGGCTGTCTTGCGCAGTTTTTAACGTTCTTTCCAATGCTATATTTGAAAGCTAATTTTGACCTTATTATGGTGGAAAAAAAAAGAATTAGTGAAGATCTGCACCAGCACATGAGTACTTGTTTAAATGCAGATTTTTTTAAAGTGTGTTTTCGATAAAAAAAGTACACCATCGTGCAGAGCGTTTTTTTTTTCTATCGAATGGTATATAGGGGTGGACCATTTAATTTAACGGGACTTAATTAATGACATTAATTAATGATTAATGTTTTCTCATTTAATCATTAATTCATTAATATTAATGATTAATGATTGATATGAAGCAAATATTTTTTTTATTTTGATTTTTTCATGGAAGAAAAGTTAATTTAAGAAATACTGAAGGTAATCTCGAGAATTTTCCAGGGCCTCTATAATGGAAGCCATCGTAACTATTCAAGACAGACTTCATGCGTCAATCAAGAAAATAAATTTTAAGACAAAATTAACATACGTCATTTTTTTTCATTAATTGGTATCTCGCGAGAAAATATCTTCAGATTTCTATGGCCTAAAGAGAGATACCAAATAATGGATCTGGCGTCCCAGAAAGGAAACTCGATCTAATTTTATTGTTCGAAGAATCAACAGTCATTCCTGATTATTTTTTACAAGTTTATTATATATTTTCTCATGATTCATTTTTAATGTCTGGGGTCTCCTCAGGCATCGAAAACTATTATTTTTGTTGCGGTTCAATTAGAAGTCCCTATAACTTGGCAGGACTCAGTGGTTTGATTACAAATCTAACCGTTTTTTCTTAAATTAGTTGGATAATAACAAACGTCTATAACACTTTATGAAAGCGCTAAAAAACGTTTGTCATCCAGACGTCCATCACAAATCAATTTAGGCTCACAAAAATAGACTTACTCGACGAAAATTCTTTTCTCTATCAAAATTTATAAGGAGTTTGGAGACATTTAAACCTTTTCCTACACAATAAATGCCAAATACCGCCCCGATTGGGCCATATTCTCAAAGCTACTATTTGTTTAGTCTTTTGAAGTTATAGTTAATACAAGTGCATCAGTAAGATTTTTCTATTAAATATGCAATTCTATGTGTTCTTTCTAATAAAACTGTTTTGAACTTGAAAATCGATGTCTAGTAAAGCACTTTTGCTCAAATATTACTCATAGAACCCAATTTCTATCATTTTTGTTTCCTATTCGACGCTTTTCGAGCAGAACAATCCTGGTTTGACTTCAAACAAATATTATTTTTAGAATCAGTATAATGCTCTATGTGCACCTATGTGTATTTGAAATTGTTTCTGCGATCTTTTTTCGATCAAATGTTTGCCCCTGATTCTCCTGCAAGATAAATGAAAAAATAAATATGATGAAAACAACTATCGGATTGGTACATAAGTTCTGTAGGTTGTTTTGTGTTTTCGGCAAATTTAACGCCTTGCACGTCGTGATTGAAAAGGGATGGAACTCTGAAAATGTTAGTATAATTCAAAGTCAAAGACACCTAACTACACTAAAAGTTTCAGACTTCTATCACTTTTCAATCATAAGATGGAAGGACTTAAATTTGTTTAAAACACAAAAAAAGGTGCAGAACTTATATATCAATGGGATATTTTATGGGTTATTTATTGATCTTTTGCCTTCAAGCAGGTATTTCACAAGTGTAGGTCATTGTTTTGATTGTAGAAATGACTTTTTCAATAAATCAATGTTTCACATATTCAGTCGCCACGCGAAGTTTCGAAGATTGGGAGAGGTGTATGACGAATTATGGTATATAAATGGGGATTTTCAAGAAAATGTTGCAAAAAATGCGTAAAATATAGTGGAAATGTGCACTTATTGTTGGAGAAGAACTAAAAGCTTCTGCTTATTGAAGGAGACTCGCCTAGACGCTCGCTTACATGGAACCTGCAGATATCTTTTAGGGAGTAAAGAGCAAAAATTTAATCGAAAAAAAGATCATAAAAACAACTTCAAATACACACAATCTGCGTGTAAAAAGTCTTTACACTAGGGGTGGACCATTTTGTTTAATGGGACTTAATTACTGACATTAATTAATAACTTCACTTAACCATTAATATTAAGGGTTAATGCTTTCCATTAAAAACTTCATTCATTAATAGTAATGATTAATGTTCTCATTAAACATTAATTCATTAATATTAATTCATTAATATTAATGAAAACATTAACATTAACATTAACATTAATGAAAACATTAACATTAACATTAACATTAATGATTAATGAAAAAAGATTAACATTAATATTAATGTTAATGGTCCACCCCTAATGGTATATGTTGAAAAAGAATTCATGAAACAATAGAAATGAGATGAAGCAAGCGATAAGTAGAAATGCACATCTTTTTAACACGAAAAAACGGATAATTTTGACGAGAAAATTTTTTTAGACTTCAGAACATGGGTTTAAGAAGTTGATTTTTACAGGGAATAGACAATGCACTATGAACTACTCAATGATGAGATCAGAAAAGTGTTAATACATTGGCGGAGGTATGATCCATTGATGGACTCCACCGTTCACCTATTGTATCGAATCGTGTTCAATGTGTTAAATTATCGAAAGATTTGTCATAGCGGCTAAGAGATTTTTCTCGTTTGAGGCGAAGAGTTTATCATCATGGAGATTTATGATAATACAACAGAGTTTTTGAAAATTTGCACTTGGGTTTCTGGCATGCTTTCATATGCACCTTGGGTATTTGATGTTAGTTCAATACCTTTACTGTTTATTATGCTATATCCCACCATTCACTATTTCAAACTTTCTGGTTTTTCGGTGATAAGGATATACTGTTCTTTGTCCAATAGTCTAGTGTCTTCCACTAAATCTGTATCGGAATCACAGGATATGTTATTGGACTCTTTCGAATCTTCGAAACTGAATAAGAGAGAATTGAAACATAGAAAATTTGAGACTACAAACGTGGTGAAAACAAGCATATATCGTATGTAGGATCCCTCTAGATTCGACGGATTGGTTCAACTTCCACTGGATGACGCAGATGAATTACAAAGTAATACAAAAAAAATGAATTACAAAATAATTCAAAAATTCTGTATTCTATATATATATATGTTTATTTATTTATTTAATGAAATCTATGTACATAATTATAATAAATTTATTATTATCTACCAGAGTCTACTAGGGTCTATACGGTCGACAGGGTTTACTAGGGACTACCAGGGCCTCGATGGGGGTGCAGCGAAACGAGTTACACTATCTTGAGGGTGTGAGTAGGTATGGGTATTAATTCTCTTCACATTCACACCCACACCCATATCACCCACACCACCTACACTCGCACCCACACTCACACACACCCACACGCCCCACACCCACACCCACACCCTTTGGTGTTGTTCTTCTTTTTTCGATTTTCTTACTACTCTTCAAGATTTGAAACTGCGTATAAAGAAATGGCTGCCGTAATTCAGAACAATATTCAGAAGGTCAAGAATCAACTCAATCCACATTTGTACAACAATCGAATTAGTCCGATTTTGAACCAAGTCGAACAGATAACACATTTGGAACGTTCACTACTTGCCCTTGGTATGTTGTTATTATTCTTCTTCTTTCATTATCTTATTGATTTATTCGCTTAGGTATGCTTCCCATTCTTGCCAATTATTTAGTAATCGGTTGGGGTAATGAGTTCGTCTGTAACTTCATCGGAATTCTTCCTGCTTTCTATGCTTCGTAAGTTGATTTTCGTGTGCAAATCTGTCGTACGATTATAATTAAAAATTATTTTTTAATTTGGTGTTTCATTGTGAATCAAGAAAAATTTTTTTGTATAGATAATTCTCTTCAGTACATAAAAACTCACACTACATTATCATCATTTAGGTTAACTTCTGTTTCACAAATCATCGTTCATAGCTTGCCCATTGAAAATCAACAAGTTAGGATCAAAAGTAGCTAATCCCATTTGGCATCTGCAAGATGGTCTCGGGATCAAAATTTTGCTTTTTGCCGGGACCGACACTAAAAATCTTTTTTAACCGATGCAAAATCTTCAAGCTGATCTCCATAGTTTTTCATAAAGTGCTAGACTAGACTAGGCATTTTGATATTTATTATTCCCTAGACTGAAAGGATAGGGTCTAGAAACGGAAATTCATCTCACTGCAAGTATCGTTTTTGTCGGTAACATGGCACAAGTGACCATTTTTTTGGCACAAATGACCATTTCCTTGGCACAAGTGACCATTTTTTTGACACAAGTGACCACGTAACTATGACACAAATGAGCATATTCCCTAGACTGAAACGATAGGGTCTAGAAACCTAAATTCACCATTGTCCGTCTGTAGCGTAGTACATATGACCATTCTGGTAACTATGGTACAAATGACCATGTAGTAACAATGATCTGAATGACCATCTAATGACTATGGTTCAAATGAACATGCAATAAGCATGACTAAAACGACCATGCAATAACTATTATCCAGATAATCGTGTAGAATGGTTAAAAACAGCATTTAGTTAGTAGAATTCAAACTAACCGAGCAGTATGACTTTCAAAAAAAATTGTTAAATTATTCAATATTATTGGATTGATTGTACAATGTTGTATAAATTAGTATGTGATTTATTAAGTTTAGAATTGATGAGTCAATTTGAACATATAATTATGATTAACAAAACTTAAATTTAGTGAATAATGTGATTTTTATTTTTGTTAAAACAAAAAGTGAAATGTTTACAATAAAAAAAACTGAATCGATATATGCATCATCTTTATATATAAGGTGCATCGTCGAAATTAATTTTTATGACCATCTATGATATACTTATCATATTATCAATTTCGTCTACTACTTTATTTAATGCACCTTTATATCTATATGTGGTTATATCCCTTTGTTTATTCCGCCAGTCTAGGACTAAGTGAATCGCTACGCGATGAACGTTACTTGTATTTTTATGATGAGCTATCTAAAAAACAGAATTCTTTAACAATCTCAACAAAATTTCTCCGGCGATCTTACTTTTGACTTCAAGAAGCAGAATTTTCAATAACTTGTCTAGTTTTTGGACTAAGTGACTTATAATATACAGTCAATTCACAGCTTTTATCTAAGACCGAGACTGAAAAATACTGATTTTGCAGATCCCTAATTCCTATGCTCAACTTTGTGCTTTTTCCAAATGTGTGCTCAGAAACTTTTCTATCTGACAATTGATGGTCTGTGAAAAAAATGCTTGAAAAACCTGCAAATAATGATTTTAAAGAGTTCATTTTGGAACTATTTTGTGGAACAATCATAAGATAGTCAGTGTACCTCTGAATGCGAATTTCAGGCTCTCCTCCTCTTCCTTCCAGACAGTCCTGAAACGAGTTAAGAGAGTGAATTAGGATAATCATTTTCCTTATTTCGACTGGTTATTTCATCTTTCAACAATGAACGTTTTAATATAATAAAATAAAACCTTATATGATTCGCACATTTTCGCTTCATCAATGAGCAGCGCTGACAAGCCTTTGGTATTTTGATTAAAACTTATTCAATTGAAAACACAAAACGTATTTTTATTTGATACTTTGTACAGAAAAGTTTTTTTCTGAGAACTATCTTATCTATTCTACTTTTCACATATTCAGCATATACGTAAAATTAGTTACATAGTAAAGGAGAATTTTCGAGAAATCGATTTTTTTGAGAGAACACTATTTCATGTGGAAAGCACCTCTTCGGTAACAGTCGATAACTTTTTGACTTCAGTGCATTGCAATACTTTATTGTGTAGTGGATTGAATGCTCTACGAAAACGCTGAATAAAACTGTTTCAGAACACAAATTGTAGATGGCGCAGAAAGATCCGTGATCGGAAAATTGAATCGGTTTTAACGATTAACTGCGCTCAGAAACAGACAAAATATTGTGTGAGTTGCTAAGAATGAAGTTTTCTTGTGTTCACGGTTTCAAAAATATTTTTTAAATGTAGTTCAGCATCTATGTCGTATTTATAAATATTTAACCGTGAAACAGTCAGCAAAACAATATTTTTAATAGTTTTTCTTTTCTATTATCATCAAATATGGTGGGTACAAGGTAAAGACAGTGTTCGATTCATAAATCTTCCCCATCTTATATTCTACTGAAAGCGAGTTAGTGCTTGTGATAAGAGTTCACTAAAGTCTCCATACACTCAATATATCAATTCAAAATAATGGACAACAATAACACTTCAGCGGGTATCTACTTTTGTGCAGAATAGTAGGTTTTTCCGCACAAAACATCGTGAACTGCGTACATTCCGAGTTTTTTTTTCATGCTAACAACTGAATTTTTCCAATCGTAAGCCAGAAAACGTTTCTCAGCACATATTTAGGAAGAGTATAACATTCTGCTAGAGAATCACTACTCTTGATTCTAATTGATTTCTTTTAAGCAAACAAAATGTGAACAAAGATTTCACAATTGAGATAAAAGCTAAAGTTTCAGATTTGTCAATCTAGCAGTATTGGAGTAGTTGATTATTTCCTTTTCCATCAGTATCTCGCTTTCCATTACCAAGACTTATTTTAAAAGGAGGATAATAAATTGCAGAAATAAAACGATACGTTTGTTCTTCTATGAATCGGTAATTATAAGTTCAGTAAAGAAAAAGAACGAAAACAAATTCTCTTGGACAATCATATCAGCAAAAATTTCTTGTTTCAAAATATGGCATGTGATACATACATAAATAAAACTTTTTGAGCACTATGAGAGAGATCTCTTCGTAATTCTATCTGAGAACATGCTCACATATTTGATACTAAAAACAAGATTTCAATCTAGGGGTGTCATTTACTATTTAATTCAAAATAAATATAAAGGGTGTGGGTGTGGGTGTGGATGTGACTGGAAGAAACATTCACACACACACACCCAGCCACACCCACACCCTCAAGTTTTGCTTTTTTATTAGATTTATTAAAATAAATAGCTTGAAATCCTTGATTCCCGTCAAAAACTGCGTCCATTGATATATAAATCAAGATATTTCAGTTCAAAAACCCTTTTGACCGGAGTACCTCCCATGATTTTTTTCCAAAGTCTTTTTTCGTAAAAAAAACATGTAAATGACATGCCTATAGTTTTGCTTCTTGATGGAGATCGTCAATCGGCTATGATTTTTTTTGAAAACATTTACATGAAGAATGAAAATCGTAAAGTACGAGTTCGTTTTGACACGTAATGTAAGCAATGTCAATAATTTCATAGTCAATAATTGCTCTAACTACACTCATAAATTCAGTTTTTGATAAGCATTAATTTCGTATGAAATACTTTATGGTGTCATTTACACTCTAAGTTGTAGAGGAGGGCGCAATGGTTTTGTAACATTCTTTACATATAATTTAAAAACCAGCGAAATTGCACCTATCACTACTTTCATTGCAGAAACTGTATTAGTAACGAGAATTTGGTGATGCATATCAGAGATGAGCAGGGCGGGATGGTCGTGGTGCACTGCCAGATTTAGCAGTTTCCCCATGCATTGAAGCAAATGAATTGCTTTTAGAGAATACTACGACATATCCCGAAATTTGGAGAATTGCTCACTTTCCCCACGGGAGACAGCAGTATTCAAGATAGGGGTGTCGCGTTAGCATTAGCATTAGCATTAATTAATGCTAATGCTAATGCTTTTGCGTTAGCATTAACAGTTAACGCTAATGCTTTGGCATTAATGGCATTAGCGTTAATTAATGCTTAGGCGTTAGCATTAATTTAGCATTATTTTTAATGCTAATGCATATACACAGAACAATTCTAGACTGCTACCTTGACATACTTCTTTAACTTTTTAAGGCGTACTTGGGGTAGGTTCGGTAACTTTTCAAGAGCTTCCTAGGGGTACTCTTGGTAACTTTTCAAGGGCTATTTGTGGGTACCCTTGGTAACTTTTCAAGGGCTTTCTGGGACTACCCTTAGTAACTTTTCAAGGGCTTTCTGGGACCACCCTTAGTAACTTTCCAAGAGCTTTCTGTGGTATCCTTGGCAACTTTTCAAGGGCTTCCTATAGGTACTCTTTGTAGCTTTTCAAGG